AAGGTTCCATGATCTTGTGCTCAGTGTGGTGAATGTAGGGTTTTTCTCAGTATTCCTGTTCTGTTATCAGCTTTCAACAGTACCTGCATACCCGTACTGTTGAGTGGGGGTTTCTTTCCATAGTCTTGCCTCCTCTTCAGCAATAGACTGTTGTTGCTTGCTTCTCGTTGCTAGGCTTGTTGCTTGGCCAGGTGGTGATTCTTGAGTCTCCTAGTCCAGCCTTAGTCTTAGGCAAGACCTATGCACCTGGGCTTGGGGGATGGGACATTCTCAAATTCCTATCTTCCTCTCAACACCTGCCCCATGGTAGCCAAACTCTGTCTTGTAATCAACATGAGTATCTGACACAGTTGATCCACATTTACTGGCCTTTTCACAGGGCACAGGTTTTCCAGGTGCCCACTGTGTCAGAGTGAGAAAGGTACCTCCTAACACTGACTCTTCCTTCATCCCTTTGGGGCACACCATTCTGAGACCCATGTTAGCTCCTCAAGGGCCCCCTTGGAACTAAGTCTGTGGCAGATCATTGTTCTATGCAAATCCCGTGCCAGAAACCAGATCATGGCATGTGACAACCAACTGTTCACAGATGGTAAGGAGGTCTTGGATCTCGCTGGAAGGGGACATCAGGCATCTCTCTACGACAGCCAGGAGTTCCATGTGGCCCACGGAGGTGGCTCCAGAACTGCACAGGTGAGAATGCCAACCCCATCAGGTAAGTAACCAGGATGCCAAATTCTTCGTTTCATCAGAAAGTAACATAGCCTGTGATGGTTCCAAAGAAATTCTGGGAGGTATTACTTCTCTGCAATGGGGCTATAGGGATGGCTGAACCCCTTGGGCTCAGGATAAGTACTTGAACTCTGTCCTAAGCTGGAGACAGGCAAGGGCCAGGCCTCCACTCAGAGGCTGGTATGTTCCTCCCTCAGATGCATTCTTCCACTAGGTGGAATGAAATAAAATTGCTACCACAATTGCAGGGACTTCATCATAGAATGGGACCTGCAGATCTGTGGGTTCACTGCCTCAGGTGTAGTTCCATTTCTGGAGGCCAGGGGAAGGACCCCGGGCCTGGACTGGATTAGGCAGAATTGTTCCAGAAGCATCTGGAAATGCACGTCATTTAGAGAATGAGGGTAAATGAAGCCAAGGGAAGGAGCCAAGGCCCACAACAGAGAAGAAACATCATGAGACAGGTCTGAGGGGAGGGTGTTGGGCTGTAGTTAAGAAATCAGGCTTGAGAACTGAGGGTGGGAGTGGAGAGTTCTTTGGGGGCTGTGAGATTGGAGGAGAAGGATTTGGGATGGGGGAAGGTCCAGAGGGCTTTAGGTTTAGGAGAGGGCCAGCCTGTTGGACAGCAAAACACCCATTTACTTCCAGAGGAAGGGAAATAATCACCTAAAACACAAAATAGCCCTAAACCAGCCACACTTAGCTGTCTAGGACTTCCAGCAGCTCTACAGAGAATAAAAGCTTTTTGGAACACACACAAGGTTAAAAAAGAAGACATCAAACAAATGGAAGTTCGCAAGGGCACTTCTAACTTTGAGAAAAATAAGATTAATCAGTGGAAGTAGAAACTTTTAAAGAAAAGAATCAGAACTTCTTCTCTTACAAACAAAGCTTGAACCTCTTAGCAATCATGACTCTGATTGCAAGACTCTGACTCAAGTGCCTGGAGAGTCTTTTACTGCCAAGAACTGCGGCACTTCAGATAAAGGAATTACTCAGAATTCAGCTCCAATCTAAATCAGCCCAGACAAAAGCCATAGACAGTTTCCAGGCTGAAATCAACATCAGATTTTTTGTTTCTTAGAGAGAGTGTGTAATTTTTAAATTATAAAATTAATTCACAGTCAATGAAGAAAATTTGTGAAATACACAAAAGTGTAAAGAAAAAATCAAATATTCCCATTCCATAATTCAGAGGTGCTTTAGATTTTTTTTTTTCAGTTTTTCTCTGCAGATACCTGTATTTTTCTTCATGTAAATCAGGATTATAGCAAATAAAAAGCTGTTTCTTGCTCTTTTCACTTACCATATACCAGGAACAGTTCTCCGCTGCCTTAATTATGCTTTGAAACATACTTTTAAATGGTTCCGTAAGATTCGCTTTTATGAATATGTCAGCATTTATTTTTAATCATTTTTCAATTAATGATCAATTAGATTGTTTCAATTTTTATCATTTTAAATCTACTTCCAGGAAGCATCTATGGATGTAATCTCTGTACATTTGTCCAATTATCTTCTCAGGAGGGAGTCTTAGCATATTAAGATTTGAGGACTTCTCAATACCTGCTCTCAAGTTACTCTTCAAACTGATCATGCTCCTTTACATTCACACTAACAATATATGATCATGTTGTTTCATGAATCATTAGCCAGCACTAAGCATTATCATTAAATAAAAATAGAGAAAACTAAAACTTTTGTACATTTGGTAGTTCAAAAATGGGATCTAGCTATCTTGCTTTGTTTTTTTTTTAAGGTTTATTGGATGTTTCTCTTTCATCAGTCATCATTTTGTACCATTTGCCTATTTAAAAAAATTTTTTTTTAAATAGAGACAGGGTCTCACTATGTTGCCCAGGTGGGCCTTGAACTTCTGGCCTCAAGTAATCCTCCCACCTTGGCCTCTCAAAGTGCTGGGATTACAGGCGTGAGCCACTGCACCCACCATTTGCCTATTTTTTCAGAGTAAGCACTTTGCCTTAGTTTTGATCCAGTTTGGCATAGCAGGATCAAAAAGAGAAATTCATGATGTTAAAAGTCTTTTGGTTTATAGCTTTAAGCTTTCCAAGGATTCCATTGAGGCCAAATGTGAAGGAAAGGGGTGGCTCTTTTAGAGCAGAGTCTCCTTGGAGCCGCCCCAGAATCAGAACTGAGGGGTTGGAGAAGGAACATGTATTTAAATTACCCCACTTAGACCCACAGTCAGCATTTCCCACAGTTGGATTCAAGATCCAACTGGATTCTGTAATCTCTCTGTAATGATTCCTGTGTAGTCCAAATTTGACAACCACAATGACTAGTGAGGTAAGTAAACCAGAGGTTCCTATGCCCTCTGGAACAAAAGAGAGACAACAAATATACAAAGAAGTGTGCCAGAACACTGAAGAATGGAAGTTGAATGGACTGGTGGACCTACTTGTACTTCCTGCTGTTTTGGCTTTTTGACTATTGTTTTTTAACTTGATAAATGCATTATCGCTCATCTACTCAGTTCTTTGTTAGAAAAACTATAGCCATCCTTGATGTATTTCTATTCCATGCACCCCCTTATCTCTTCTCATGTATACTATTGATATTACCTACAAATGTCTTTAAATCTCTCCTTTCCTCTCTTTCTCACCACCTCTGAGTGTAGTCCCTTATCATCTCCCTCTCTCCTTTCCCCTGATTCTACCCGTAATCTCTATGGTTACCCATAAGGTGCACCATTCTAAGTAGTAATGAATCTAGAAGTTTCTGCTTGCTATGCAAAAACTCCTAAATTAACATACTTCCCTCTGCGTCCTTCCAATATTTTGCAGCCTTCAAACCCTCAGCGAGAGACTGAGAATTTTACAGGGGTTAAAGAACCGTCGAACACGATGGAAATTAAGACAAAATTTAGTAAACATGAAAGAGTGACTCAAGTGCAAGAAGCAGCTGTGGCCAGAATTCAAGATTCTGGTCAAGCAGCACTGAGTGGCAACATGATCCAAGGTGTAGCCCTAAGGTTGGGTTGCTGAAGTGCCTAAGAGGACAAGGGCATGTGAGGCCATGTTATTGAAGGGGTCATCCGCACAGAACCTAAAGTAGCTCAGATGTGTGCTCTTCTTATTCACTAACACAGAACTAGCGAGTATGAACAGCTCAGAGTAACCTTTCGCCATTCCTGGAAAAACAACTTAGAGCAAAGGACAAAGGGTTACTGTGTTGTTCCTTCCATGTATAAAGGAAATAATAATTTTGATAGATTTGGTGGGACATTTAGGAGCCAAGTCAAACTGTGTATGTAATTGTTTTCTAAAGGTGCTAGGACTTAATTTTCAGATCCGGAATGAGAACAGGTGGTGGCTGGTGGCAGGAGTCACAATGGTTTCCATGACGACGGGATTGGGTCCTAGTTATCCTCCCATCCTCCACAAAACCTACTGCAGCTTTTCTCATAAGGTGCTTATTAAATATTTGTTAAATGAACGATGAACCACAGAATGGCGTGCGTGCTTTGCAATTAAGGATGTCCCTCTTTAGCTAGCCTAAAAGCTTTTAAAGCACCTATAATTATTGTATTTACACATGTATTTTGCATAATTTGCATATTAACCAGAAAATAATAAACCATATTCTCCCATTTCTCCTGAACAACACTGGCCCATATCATATTCCTTATTGTGGCATCAGTAGCCCAGATGTTTGGTTGAAAGGGCCATAAAATGGGATGGGGGATGGGGAGTTTTGTGCTGTATTTATGGTTCCACATCAGCGGGTTTTGTCCCGCTCTCGAGCCCCTGCCCCCGCCTTCGCCTTTGCGCAGGCGCCAGCCTTCCCCTCCCCCCGCGCCCCTCTTCCCGCCCTAAGGCTGGAGCCCGCGAGCCCAGACCCAGAGCACAAAAGGCCTCGCTAGCCGGCGTCCCGCGTTGCCCTTGGCAACCATTGAACGGAGTCTGGCCCTCCGGCGACCCTGAGAAGAAAGAGTAAACGGGACCCCCATTGGCTGACCGGGGAAGATGGGCCAATCGGAGAAGAGGGTATAGGGAGGCGGCTGAACGAGGCTGTCGGGGTAGGAAGCTAGGGTTAGAGGCAACCCGTGAGGCTAGAACCCCGAGCGTGGTCGGTTGGAGCAAATATGTCCGTCCGGAGGCACATTGGGAACCCTGAGGTGAGGGCCAGGTCCCGGCCGGAGAGCCGGAGTGGGCGGGAGCACCGGAAAAGGCTCCAAGTGGGCAGGGAAGAGCAGCCAGCTACTTCCGCCGCCCGGAAGGCGGGAAGGGGCCGGCGTGAGGAGGGGTCGGAAAGCATGGGCGGAGCGGGGCGGGCCTGGGGGCCTCTGGGCCGGTTCGGGGCCTCTGGGCCAGTTCAGGACCCCGTGGTGAGGGGCGATCTCTCCTCGCGTACGTACGCTAGTACTTTGTGGCTGCGAAGGGCCAAGTACACAGACGCAGCCCTTGCCCTCAAAAGGCTTACCGTCTTGGAGTGACAGTTACAAAACAGAAAAGACGAAGGGAGCGCTGAACACTGATGGCACGAGGTGAAAGCCAGCCAGCATCTCTAGGGTTACAGGAAGAGCAGGAGTAAGCTGACCAAACCTTTGGAAAACGGGCGGAATAGGACCTAAGGCTTACCCCTCTCGCCATAGGCCCCTTCAGTTTCTTCATCTGTTTCACCCCTAGTCCCCTGCTTCGTTTGCGGAGGTTTCAACAAACATTGGTCTTCTGCCGTGCAGTAGGTGCTGGACGTACAAAGAAGACAAGGCCCCTGCCCTTTAATAAACTGCATCTAGTGAAGGAAACTGTGAACAGAATTTGAGTAGTGTGGTCGGGGAGCAAGATGTTAGGAGAAAATAGGTAGGACTCAACTGAGAGAAGGGTTGTGGAGATGGAAGGGGTGGCAGGGCCATTTCATTAGCCAGGTGAAGCAGCATCCCAGGTAGAACAGCCCAAGTCAAGGTGTGTGTGAACTCCGAAGAAGCCCTTATAGGAGTGTAGGCTTTCTCTGCCTTGCTGAGGTTCTTAGCCTTTATTCCAAATAGGAGTTTAACTGTTTGATGTCTTGCCGACTGCCTGGTGCTAAGTTGAGACAAGTTTTAAGGCTGAGTCTAAGCCCTGCAGGAGAGCCATGGTCAATTAGTAATGTCTAAATGCCACATGATCTCACATATGTGGCATCTTAAAAGTCCAGCTTGGGCCAGGCCCGGTGGCTCACGCCTGTAATTCCAGCACTTTCAGAGGCTGAGGCGGGCGGATCACGAGGTCAGGAGTTCGAGAGCAGCCTGACCAACATGGTGAAACCCCGTCTCTACTAAAAATACAAAATTCAGCCAGGCGTGGTGTGGTGGACACCTGTAGTCCCAGCTACTCAGGAGGCTGAGGCAGGAGAATTGCTTGAACCCTGGAGGCGGAGGTTGCAGTGAGCCAAGATGGCGCCTCTGCACTCCAGCCTAGGCGACAGAGCAAGACTCTGTCTCAAAAAAAAAAAAAAAAAAAAAAAATTCCAGCTCATAGAGAGTAGAGTGGTAGTTACCAGAGCCTGGAGGGTGGAGGGAAGGAGGGCAGAAATGATGTTTATCCAAGGGCACAAAGTTTCAGTTAGACAGGAGGAATAGTTTTTGAGATCTCTGGCACAGCACGGTAGGTATAGTTAATATACATCAGACTCATCACCCCCAGTAGAAAATCCATGTATAACTTTTGACTCCTCTCTCCCCACCCCCCAAAAAACTTAACTACTAATAACCTGCTATTGAATGGAAGGCTTACTGATAACAGAAACAGTTGATTAACGTATTTTGTATGTTATATGTATTATATACTGAATTCTTAAAGTAAGCTGGAAGAAAGATTATTAAGAATGTCGTAAGGAAGAGGAAATATATTAAGTATTAATTGAGTGGCAGTGTATCATCATAAACATTTTCATCCTAATTGTCTTCATGCCAAGGAGAAAGGAAAAGGAGGGGTTGGTCTTGCTGCCTTTGGGGTGACAGAGGCAGAAGAAAATCTGGGTATAAGTGGACCTGCACAGTTCAAGCTCATGTTATCCAAAGTTCAACTATATTGTATATTTCAAAAGAGTAAATTTCAAATGTCTCACCACAAAAAAGTGGTAAGTGGGTTGATGGATATGTTAATTAGTCTGATTTAATCATTCCACATTTTATGTGTGTGGATGTGTGTGTGTATACCAAAACGTCAAATGGTACCCCATAAATGTATACAGTTAACGATTTGCCCATCAAATTATTAATAAAAATGTTAATATCATCCATCATGGGAGTGCGAGAGATAGCCGAAGAGAATGGCAGTTTGCCACATATTTAGCTTGTCTGCTGGTCAGAATTTGAGAAGTTTTTTGAGTTACTAAGGGCGTGACATGGTCAGATTTGCATTTTAGGCAGATGGCTGTAGCCACATTGTGGAAGATGGGTTTGAGGAGGCTCTAGGACTAGAAATTAAGAGATTGGTTAGGTGGTTACTTTTTTTTTTTTAAGACAGGGTCTTACTCTGTCACCCCGGCTGGAGTGCAGTGGTGAGATTTCAGCTCACTGGAACCTCTGCTTCCTGGGCTCAAGCGATTCTCGAGCCTCAGCTTCCTGAGTAGCTGAGACTATGGTGCACACCACCAAAGCCTGGCTAATTTTTGTGTATTTTATAAAGATGGGGTTTCGCCATGTTGCCTGGGCTGGTTTTGAGCTTTTGAGCTCAAAGCCACCTGCTCACCTGGGCCTCCCGAAGTGCTGGGAATACAGGTATGACTCACCGTGCCCAGCCAGTAGTTACTATTTTGATACAGATCTAAACTAAGGCCATTGAACTAGGGATGGAATTGAGGATAAATATTTAAGGGGCAAAATCATCAATACTTCCTGATTAGCTTTGAGAGATGTGTGATGGTGGTAGACCTCTCAGCTACCATAAATGAGATCACGAATATGGGAGAAAGAAAAGGAGGGTTACTCTTAGGAGTGTGGGGAAAGAGGAGAAGGGATGTTCTGTGTGGTTATGTTTGTGCCTAAGACAAAGATGCCCAGCTTAACTCTTGTTTGAAAACAGTACAACTTCCAGTAGGTTCTTAAGAATAAATTCATAAGAAATAATTTTTAAAATGTATGTCTAAAAATGTTCTTATTCTACCTTAACATTTATTTGCCAGTGAGTTTGACTGAGCATAGAATTGTTGGTTGAAAATAATCAGCATCTTTTTTCTTCTTCTTCTTCTTCTTTTTGAGACAGAATCTTGTTCTGTCACCCAGGCTGGAGTGCAGTGGTGCAAACACGGCTCACTGTATCCTTGACCTCCTGGGCTCAAGTGATCCTCCTACTTTCCTAGTAACTGGGACCGCACGTGTGCGTCATCATGCCCAGCTAACTTTTTGTATTTTTTGTAGAGATGGGGTCCCCCTATGTTGCCCAGAAGGGTCTTGAACTCCTGGGCTCAAGCAATCCTGCGTTGGCCTCACGAAGTGCTAGGATTATAGATGTGAGCCACCATACCTGGCCATCATCAGCATCTTGAAAACATTGCTTTGTGGTCTAGTATCCTGTGTTGCTATGAAGTCCAAAGCCATTCTGTTGCTTTGTGACTGAATTTTCCTCTCAGGAAGCTTGTGGAACTTTTTTTTTTTTTTTTCCCCAGTGTTAGTGCTTTTACAAAGATACTGATACATACCAGAAATTTATGTCTTTTTAGTCTGTAAAATTTTCTTAACTTTCTCTCTCCCATTTTCTCTATCCTCTTTTTCTTGAATTCATTATTCTGATGTTCTCTATTCGTATAGATACCCATATGACTGGTTCTCTGATTTTTTTAACTTTCATCTCCTGTTTCCTTCATCTTTGTCTTTCTGCTCTCTTTGGGAGATTTAACTTTTATCTTCCAATTCATCTCTTGAGTTTTTTCTGCCGTCATGTTTTTGATTTTTTTTTTTTTTTTTTGAGACAGTCTCACTCTGCTGCCCAGGCTGGAGTGCAGTGGTGTGATTTTGGCTCACTACAACCTCTGCCTCCCAGGTTCAAGCGATACTCCTTCCTCAGCCTCCCAAGTAGCTGGGAATACAAGTGCCTGCCACCACACCCAGCTATTTTTTTGTATTTTTAGTAGAGACAGGGTTTTATCATGTTAGTCAGGCTGGTCTCAAACTCCTGACCTCAAGCAATCCACCCGCCTCAGCCTCCCAAAGTGCTGTGATTACAGGCATGAGCCACCATGCCTGGCCCATGTTTTTAATTTTTAAGAGCTCTGCTTTTTGCTTTTTTGTACTTTTAAAAAACTTTTTATTTCAAAATAAGTATAGATTCACAAGAAATTGCAAAAACATAGTACAAAGAGGTCCTATGTATCCCTCATGAATTTTTCCCCACTGATTATATTTTACATATACAGTACAATATCAAATTAGAAAATTGAAATTTGTACAATGTATGTATTGTTCTAGGCCATTTTATCACTTTTGTAAATTTAATCAAGATTTGCATGTGTATAGATTTGCAATCAAGATAAAGAACTATTGCAATTACTAGGAATATCTCATTGCTACTCTTCTGATCACACCTACTTTCTTCCCCCTCATCATCCTAACCCTGGGCAACCATCTCCATAATTTTGTCATTTGGACAATGTTACATCAATGGAATTATACAGTATGTGACCTTTTGAGATTGGCATTTTTTTTTTCACTCAAGGTAATTTCCTTGAGTCACATATAAGTTGTTGCATGCAGCAATAGTTCATTCTTTCTGATTCCTGATTACTATTCTGTGGTATGAATGTACGGCAGTTTTTTGTTTTTTGGGTTTTTTTTTTTGAGACAGAGTCTCACTCTCTCGCCCAGGCTGGAGTGTAGTGGCGCAATCTTGGCTCACTGCAACCTCTGCTGCCTCCCGAGTAGCTGAGATTACAGGTGTGTGCCACTGCTCTTGGCTAATTTTTTGTATCTTTTTAGTAGAGATGGGGTTTCACCATCTTGGCCAGGCTGGCCTTGCACTCCTGACCTCGTGATCCATCTGCCTCAGCCTCCCAAAGTGCTGGGATTACAGGGGTGAGCCACTACCTGACCTATACAGACCTGTACAGCAGTTTTTTTTTTAACCATTCAACTAGTGTAGGACATTTTGGTTGTTTTCAGTTTTGGGCTATTAGAAATAAAGATAACATTTGGGTGTAACTCTTTGTGTGGATGTTAATTTTCATTTATCTGGGATAAATGCCCAGGAGTACAGTCATTGGGTTGTATGGTAAACATATGTTTAGTTTTATTAGAAACTGCCAGACTTTTCCAGAGAGGCTATACATTCCTGCCAATGGTGTCTGAGAGATCAGTTTTTGCATACTCTTGGCAACATTCAATACTGTTAATATTCTTTATTTTGGTTCTAATAGGTGTGTAGTGCTGTCTCATTGTGGTTTTAAGTTTCATTTCCCTAAGGGATACCAAGCACATCTTTTCATGTGCTTATGTGTCATCCACGGATTCTCTTCAGTAAAATATCTCTTTGTGTCTTTTGCCTATTTTCTGTTTTTTTTAACTGTTGAGCTTTTTGTTTCCTCTTTCGTTGGTGGTGATGACTGTAAATAT